GGAATAGTAATTAGTTAGATTACTCGTCACTGAAAAAAGTAACGCCGTCATTCCCATCACTGAATATGATGCACGTGAAATTTCAGACCTGCAACTTTTATTGTTTGTTCTCATCCGCTTCTATGATTTTCTTCCAGAATATTGAACTCAAGGTGGAAGTTGAGAGTCTGAAAAAGGAACTCGAGGAGAAACAAGAGCTTTTGGACAAAGCAAAGTAAGTATTTGCAAAATCTTACTTTTTGTTTCCACTGTTATCAAACAAATAATTTGCTAGCATCCTGTAACCATTTTAAAATTCAAAGCGGTTTCGAATACTCAACTACTTATGCACAGATTTGTTGAAATCCCTTTAGGGAAACCTCTGAGCGAAGCACAAAAACGCTCCTTTCATCACTAGTTTGTTTCCCATGAGTCCAACAGTACGTCAGCGCCAAGGCAAGCTCAGGACCCCACGGCCTCTCATCACACACAAGCCTGCTGGCCTGTAGACTAACCTAGCTATCACAACACAAACTAAGCTCTAAGGAATGCATGGATTCAGCACGAAAATGCTTGTGAAGTCCCTCTGAGTTCTGGGATTCAGGGCAAAGAGGGTAGGAAACTGACAAGGTGGAGAAGAAATGAGGGTCTTACTAAGGGTGTTTTTTTGTTTTTTTAAAGGGGGAGGGTGATTAGAATATGGGAGTAGGTTAGGTAAAGGGCAGAGGTTTTATGGTTTGCCGAGTTGGGAACTATATGAGCTCCAGCACCTGTTTACAAGCCAGCTGTCTCCCTTTCTTTCTTCAACCGTTCTCCTTTCCAAACAATAAACTAAGCAGAATACTGAGATCAGGATGCAAACCTCAGATTACACCATTTGATGCACATTTCCTAAAGGGAAAGATGGTCCATGTTTTTCAGGAAAAGGCTGCCTTTATTATTTTCATTTCCTGTTATCACAGCACAGTTTGTTGCTGTTATCATGTGTGGATAATTTAGACAAGAAAAAGAAAAGGTAAACTTAAAGACAACAAAGAACTGAGACAAAGGGAGGTCTTAAATACACATGAGGTAACTGAAGGAGGTGGACACAGGAGGGTAATGAGACACAGCTGAAATGAATTAAGCTAGACAAGCAACAAAGACTATTAAACAGGAAATCAAGAAGAGGGAGAACTAAATGAGGAATATAAATATTAAACACAGAAAATAAAACAACAAAGATTTCAGTAACAAAGGATGAAACACTGAGGCAAAAACTGAAAATATAAATATAATATAATTATAAAACACTGGGTCAAGGACCAAGAGCAATGATACTTATTCCTATTTTACACCTTGTATTGTAAAAGACTTAACACTAACCCAAACCAACTTCACCCGAATTTCACACCTCTGTCAATATGAGACTGTCAGTAAAATCGGACATTTGAGGAACCAACTGTAGTTACTCTTCAAAATCAGAATCAATAAAATAAGAGCATAAAAGAATATGAGTATGAATGGCATAAGAACAAATTTCTGTCATCTTGAAACTTTCCAAAATTCTGAATTTTAATTTATTTAATGTGTTTTTGTCTTTATATATGTATGTATGTATGTATGTATGTGTGTATAAAAGAGTCTAATATAGCTAAATCCATAATCTTTTACTCATCAATGAGTTTTCATGGATTGTTTAACGATAGCGATTCAGTAGCAACGATACGTAGTAATCTGAAGACTTTTCATGATACATTCAAAGCAGTAGTGAACGGTGCTATTAGTTACCTTAACTAGAAGACAATTTTCTATGATTGCCCACAGTCTGGGCCCACCATAGTGTGAGCAATGTGAAATTAGTCACATGACAGTGAAAGATGAAAGCCCAAAACGAACACGAGTAGTTTCTTGATAAGCCAAGTATAGAAGCCTGGTATAGGCTGTTGCGATGTACTGGAATGTGTGTAAACATTTGGGGAAAATATTCATATATAAAATGAAAGTATTAAAGGTTTTTCTCTACTGGCCAAAAGCTCAATATAAAGCTGTAATGTTATTTTCATTGTATGGGAAATATGTCTGAATATATTTTTATATATTTTTCCTTGCTAAGCCTATAAAGGTCACCTCACTGTTTACTGAGTAACCCCAGTTTGAGGGAGAAATCAAGCTAACCAATAACTGTCACAGCTAAATGTAGTTCAGCATTGCTTTTAAATCAGCACGGCTGATTTGTGATTTGTTTAAATCAGAGTTCTCAAACCCCTAGCCAGAAATACATGTTTAAGCAACACATAATGATTTATTACAATGATTTATTATTAAATGGCATTTTTGTGACGTTTTTGTAAGGTTTCAAATATAGTCAAATAAGACTTGCATTGCTGTGGCAGAAAGAAGATGAATAGGTCATTTCATGACACAAATCAGCCGTGCTGATTTAAAAAACAGCAACATAAAATATAGCAAATGTGCAAACTGTTGTTATGATGTGGGGGTGATGCTGTGACTTATAAAGTGGCTGCTTATTCTGTTAGCTAATGTTGGCTAGATCAGCAGATATTAATCGTTAATTTTAGCTTTCAGGCCATTAGTCTGCTGCCATATCGCACATTGTCAGCCAAGGAGCTTATGTTCTTTATTCTTTTAATAGTTCAGTTAGTTAAAGATTTCTATTCCTTTTCTGGTCAAATTGGGCTTCATTATTTAATAGTACGGCTCCAGTTTAGGTGACAGCAAGTAAAAAGCATGTTACCTGTCAACGGCCAGCAGCAGCCCGTATTCAGTTTGAATATTGCTATAAATAACACAGATCAGTGTCCCTTTTAATGGGTTGTAAAGTCTGTTTCACTGCAACATTTAACTTTTTGTTGACTCCACCATTACTGCAGAGGGAGGGAGAGAAAGAGAACAGGATGAAGACGGCAAAGAAGGAGCCTTTGCTCTGGGATTGATCGCTAACAGCTAGCCAGTAAAACCAGTGTGGTATATTAAAATCATTGATTATTCATTCTGAATTATTCTTAGACACTGCAACAGGTTATCCAATGAATTACGTTGCTTTTAAAGACAAGGTGTGCGATTTGAGGTTTGCAAATAGTACACATTAGATACTTTGAGAACAACTTAGGAATAGTATGTTGGCGAAGATGGGGATTGAAGGCTTCTGCTAGAGGACCTGAGCTCAAAGATGATGCACGTACCATTGAATTTTTACTAAACTGTGGTGTGGTTAGGAAGGCTGAATATGTGTGGGATTATTTTATTTTAGTACTTCCTGTACAAGTTCATTGTTATTCATTTCAACTCACACAGATCGACGGCAAAGAGCCTGTCTAATCAAAATGAAGCAGAGTTGCAGCGGCGTCTGGTGGTGCAGCAGGAGGAAATCAACCACTTACAGGAAATCATGGCAACCAAAGTCCGGCTACTACAAGAGGTACAGATAGTATCACTGGCAAAGCAGTTCCATGATACTAACAGGCAAAATTAGATTTATTCTGATGAGAACATGCATATGTTTAGGAGGCTGAGCTGGCACGAGTTGAGGCTGAACGGATGGCCTCACTGGCAAACACCGAGACCCAGCGCTACCTCACTCTTGAGAAACAGATGTTGGAGAAGAGTCAAGCCTCTGGTGGAACACTCAACTTGCAGCCACTGACAGACAAAGACAGGTAATTTAATATGTAGCTAACCACAGATTTGCAACCAAAGTCCCAGTTTTGTGTAAAACAGCTCATTGCACTGTACATTATGAGTGCATTGGAGTTTTTCAGAGGGGTTTGATGAACCTCACCATATGTTTCATTTTATTGATTTCACTTTGTTTTTTATCATTGTGGCAAATCAGTATTTAGTACAGTGAATGAAATACATGTGCTGTGCTAGTTTTAATAAATAATTAATTCATAAAAACAAAAAAATTGCACAGTGAATGATCACCTGAAAACACCAGCTTTTCAATTTTTGATGTGACTGCATTTTGGCGGCACATAAATACCTGTGCATAGTGGCACAGCGGTTACCACTGTTGGCTCATAGCAAGAAGGCCCTGTGTTCAGCTCCACCATCTGGTCGGGGTCTTTCTGTGTGGACTTTGCGTGTTCTGGTCTGTCGCAGACAGGTAACAGATTGGTGATGTGCCATGCCTCTTACCCCATATCAGCTGGGGTAAACTGCAGCTTTAGCTACATTAATGCTTGTCTCTGTTTCTTCTTTTTACCAGAATGATTGAGGAGCTGACGCAGGACAAACATTCACTGCATCTTCGAGTCAAAGAGCTTGAAGTGAGACTTCAAAACCCTTCCTCTTCTCTGCACAAAGACGGAGGAAAAAATGAGGTATTTTCATGATATTCCTTACATGAACATAAGAGGGTGAGGCGATCATGCATGCACGCACACTCTTAATATTGCAAACATTGTTATACTTTATTGCTATAAAACTGAAGAAGAAATGACAGAGTTCAGGTGACCCTAATAAGTGATTTATTTTCCTATTATGTGCAGCTGAAAGCACATAGTGATTATCTGAGGTATACTAGACAGGTGTTGTTGAGCCCCAGTGCTCCACAGTATTCACGTCAGTTTTATTAAGTCACTAGAGCCCAACCAGTAAGAAAGAGACATTAAAGAAAGTATTATGGGTACAATCAACAAGCTGTTTATTTATCTAACTAACTTGAGAAACACCTACAGTTTGTAAAATACGCCTAAAATATCCTTTATTTTTAACAACTAGTTACAAAAAAAGACATTTAATTATTTTATGTTTTAAATAATTCTGTTACTTATTTCTTTCAGTCTCTATCAAATAAAATAATTATAAGATGTGATAATCAAAATAACTTTTGCAGACTTACATTTCTGTGCTATTTCAGAGGTTTCTTGAAGGTCTTTAAACTATGTTTTGACCCAGAGTCCCTCGTGTATATTTACATAATTTATGAGGAGTAAACCAATAGCCTGCTGCTCCGTAGTTTTCACATCAGCAGTACACCCTCAGCTGTAAGGGTATAGCTAGATTTAGAACGAAGTGGAAGAAGAAGACCTTAAGCGCACATATCCAAGCAGCTAATTACCTGTGGTGTCACGGTCTTTGTAAGTGATACTCATTTTCTGTGGGTTGGACCAGGGACAGCAGAGGGAGTGATCTGGAAGTGGGTTCAGGGCAAACCAAAGAAGCACAGATAGTTGACCCAAATACAGGACAGAGCAGAGGCTTAATTTTGGGGATCAACCTGGTGGCAGAGGAGATGGAAAAGATTCTAACACCAGTATAAGTGGTATCCCCTCTGGAAGGCGTGCAGGAAGCCAACAGTGGAGGAGGAGCTTGTCAGGCAGTCAAGGAGTGAGACGATAATGACTACGGCAACATTAGACCCTCTGGCTCTGGCTCAGGTAACTTGGGCTTTGGCGGCAGAAGTCCAAGATCTGAGTCAGGAAGCACCAGCGATGGGAGATTCTTTGGAATCTTTGCCAGAGACAGAGGAAAGAAAAATGCAGGACACACAGACTTGACAGGCTAGGATCTGATAGCACCAATCCAACCACCTCAGAAGAAAGGGCTGACAGGCTACAGGCAAAAAACAAAGTCTCAGAATTAGCCAACTTAGGAGCTCTGCACAATCTTTGGGTTAGCTGGCACACAAACAGAGCAACAGGGTTTTGTTTATAGCTCTCAGTTTCACTCGAGCTGGCTGAAGGACCAACAACTGCATAAGAGCAACAACTGCAAGAGTAGTCCACAACCAGCTGTTTGGCACTGTTCCTTGGTGACAGTAAATGGCTACAGTTTGTAGATGACTATCTGACAATTGCACTGAGGCTCTGTGTAGGATCAACACACAACTTTGCCGACCTTTTATTGTACTGCTTGTCTCAAATCAGGACTTGCCTCTGAATTATATCACAGCATTACAACTATCCATTTTTTCCCCATTCATATGGTCCAATGGCATTGAATATTTGGATATGGAATATTAAATTTTTTCCAACGTTTTTCCATCTTTCAAAAAATCCAAAGGTCTTTTGCTTAGTAGACGGACTCCAGACATTGACTGTGATCCAGACACGTGTGCCAGTCCTGGTCTAAATTCTTTACTGGTTGCCTCAACCCCCCTTCTCATCTTCTGTCACTTTGTCCTAAGTGTTCTGGCTCAAACAGCAGATAGGTCAACCCAGTAAGATATGAAACTGTTTTTATATCTGCATGTGGGTCAGTGGAACATTGGCACGGTAGACAGCTCACGCCACCATGAAGCTAAAAATATGTGCACCTTTTTAGGACCATGTAAACCCCTGCATGGTTATGTTTTTCTGCTTGCATTTGAACAAATGTATCATTTTTACCGTCTTTGCAGTCTGAGCCTCAACACACACCTCATCAACAAATAATGAGGTGGACAAAGAAGGTGTTGATGGGAATGGCTGCCTTTGTAGCTCAAAATCAAGGTTTTGACCTGTGAGAGCTATAAAGTAGTAACAGGAAACCATGTTGGTGGTTTATGTGTGACATTATTGCACTTGTTTCTTTGCAGTGTCAGCACGAGTGCACAGTTCATGCACAGATGCAGGTAGGACAAAACTTTACTTGTGAGATCTTTGAACTTTTACCCACTGCAGTATATTCTGCATTTATATTCTGATAGCTACCCAATCTCACGTCTACATTTTTACTGGCAGCTTTTGTTGGTGGTGTGCATCTCAGACAAGGAGGCCCATCTTCTCCATTCATAGACAAGTAGCTCCACCTTCTGTTACTTAATCCACACTGCACACACAGTATGACTGAAGCGTCAGATTTAATACTCCTCTCATTTTAAACACCCAAGCATATATGTTCACTGCTTTCAATGCTTGTTTAGATAGTAAAATTAGGATTTTAGCAATGTCATAATTTAAAACTGAAGTTTCTACACCTGATATTTTGTCATCATAAAAGGTCCTGGTAAAAGAAAAATACATTCAAGACTATTGCACATTTACCCTTTAAAGGGTAATATCACGTTCATAATTAAAATATCAACAAAAACATTTTAACTGTTTGAATATTGTTTTTTGTGAAACACTGACATGGGTCCTAGTTTTCGTCCCTATGTTCTGAGTATATATTCCCCTTATCCACCTCTGGAGTGGCTGTAGCTGAGGTGGCAGAGCTGATCACGTATCACTCAGAAGCTCAGTGATTCAGTCTCTGCATGCGCCAGTCTGCATGCCAAATGAGTGTGTGAATGTTAGGTAGAAAAAGCATGAGGGGGGGAGTGTTTGTGTGAATGAAGCAAGTTGTGTAGAGAAGTGCTATATAAAAAACAGTTTTTATTATGATTACATTCTAGTTTTCACTGTTTAGTCTCCTAGTTTAGTATTTCCACTGTTTCCTGGTTTATTCATGTTCTACTTCTCAGTTCCTTGTTTCATTTGGTTCCCTTTCATGTCCAGACTCGTCTCATCCCTGTGTCCTCCCTAGTGTCCCATGTATGCAGGCAGTCTCGTCTCCTCTTTCCGTCTGTGTGTCGAGTTCTATACCCTCCATCGTATTTTGCCAGTCCATCATCTCGTGTTTCTTGTAGTTGTCTTTGGCCTCGGTCTTTCTGTGTCCAAGTTATATAGTTATTTCCTATCCTGCTTCTTTTGTCTCTTCCCCAGGTTCCATCTTTTGTCTCCTCTTTGTCAGGTTCATGTGTCTTTGTCTCTGTCTCACTATTTATGCTTCCTCTTTCATTTTGATAGCCTGTGTCTCTTGTGCGTTCAGTTTTGCTTCCCCTTTTTCATTACTCCTGATTTGTCTCTGCTGTTACCGCAGCTGTCTCTACTTCCCTAATCACACTCTTGTATGTAGATAATTTCTCAATCTCCCTTTGTGTCTTGTCAGAGTGTCAAGTCACCGTCCATCTGCAGGTCCCAGTTATTGTGTTTCCCAGCCTTAACCCTATTTTAAGTTCCAGTCAGTTTATGTTTCACTTATTATCGTATCCTAATCTTCAGCTGGAACAAAGGCTTATGTTTCTCTTTCTAAAATTAGGAGGCACAGTTCCTTAAAGAGCATCAGCAAGGATCAGTGTCAGTGCAGAGTCATGTCATATGTACAGTATATTTCTGCAAATATAGTCTCATTTTCCTCATCAGTACCAGTTATGATTAAATCAGTTTTTCCTGGCGGCTCAACACACAGAAGGAATCGGTTGTTTAACTAGCACAGCAACAACTGACAAATCTGAGAGAGAAAAATTGGGCAGGGATATCTGTTCTGTCTGCATCAGTGTTCATTTTCTGCTGTCACCCTTTGGTATTTCTGCCACTTAGGAAAAAGTAAACAGTGGGTGCAGTCTGTCAGCACTGTTTGGTACTTATCTCTGATTAGGATTAATGGATTTTTGATTGCGTGCCTCATTCTAGCCGATCAGTTTTTAGTGTTGTGTCTCTAGTGGCTTGTAGGGTGACAAATGTAGATGCAGCAAGGGCCAAAATAGAGTTCTGTGTTGGCCCACACACTCTGAGGAAAATAAATCACATGTGAGAGCAGTTGTATCAACAACACAGCAAGCCTGCTTCAATAAGGAAAGATGGATGAAGCTTTTTAAGTGTGTGTGCGTGCGTGTGTGTGTTGGAAGGGCTTCTTTTAAGAGGAGGACAGTGGGCTGCTTCTTGATTAAAGTGTCATGTGATTCACTGACATCAATTCCAGAGAAATAACAGAGCCCATTTGCCTCCCTCCTTTCCCCTTTCATGCTGTGTGACACACATATCAAGGCCAGACTGGGAGTGTGTGCCCCTGGGAAAGGCATGAACTCATTCCATGCTGACAATTTAGAGATTAGATTTAGATTTAATGAACCCGATGGAAAACACACAGGGCTAATTTTATTGACACATCCAAAAACACAAGCTGGAAATGAAAAGTAAGATTTTTAATTAAACAAGCGGTCACACCCTGATTTAATATGGATGATCTGAAAGGGAATTAGCAGAAGTTTTTGCACATGGACCATCATATGTAGTGTTAGTCCTTGTTACTGCCATTTGATTGCTTATAGATTTCCACAAACATGATTAAAAGCCAAATAAAAACGGTAAATGACATTAAGATTTCCCGGGGGGAAATCCTACCTTATTTAGTTTTATATTTCGTCATTTTGAACATGGAGAGATCAAAATATCATATTAAAACGTTTGGTTATCTTTCAAAAAAAATCTCTTTACAATACAAATGAGCAGCAACTACGTTAAAATTAATAATATTTTATGACTGGATGACTTTACATTAGTAATAACACAATCAAAATAAACTATTTTTGTAAGTGTAAGAACAGACTGTTTACCTTGCATCTGCACTCCAGTTTTACTGTTCGCTTAACCATTTGTTAACATAGGAACTTTTACTTACAGAGAAACATAAATGTTTATGTTGACGGTTACGCGAAGAGTGAATTAAGAGGCCTCATCTTTTGCCTGAAGAAATCCAGAAATTTCATTTGAAAGACAGTCACTAGATTTAAAGGGAAGGGCTCACTAACCCCACCCCACCGTTCAGCCGAGCCAAGAAAATGGTTCAGTCCTGCCTTGTACACGAGGTCCCACTCTGACGCTGGTAATATGGACTGGGGGGGGGATTCATTTATTAAAAACTACTGGTTTAACTACACATATCCAGGAGATACATTTAATATTACATCGGAGTACAGAAAGACACCAAAAAATAATTTGGCTTGATTTGACTGTGTTAAAAAAATTTTGATGGGCTTTTGGTGTCGAAAAGAAATCAGTAGTGAAACTCGTTGCCGTCGTAGTCGTTATTACCAAAGTTGTACTGTTTCCATAGCACATCTGTGGCCAGATTAATTGTGTAAAGTGGACTAGTGTCACAAGAGGGAAAAGGCAGTTTTCAAAAAAGAACCCCGGGATTGGCACACGAGATTATTTCGAGCATCAGAGTGAGACATCCTCTCTTTGATACACGATCTTCGGTTTCAGTCCGCGTTGCCTCGTTGTCTCGTTTTGAAAGCGTCCGGACGATTGACAGCCTCCGCTGATGAAGTGGACACAGCTGAACGGGGACGCAGACGGGAGCCGGTAAACCTTGGAACATCCAAATCGCTGACTAAGGAAGAAAATCGCGTTTTGTTTCCGTGTTCGTTTCCGGTTGTTACCTGGCAGCAGCTGCGGCAGAGAGATGCTGTCATATAAAGAGACGTCATTGATTTCAAAGGCAGAAAAAGCCGCTGTTGTGACACACTTAACGGGATCGTTCAGGATTGAAATTCAGCGCAGGAGTGAGATTTGAGTAAAAGTCTGTGCTTCCCCACCAAGGAAGTGAAACCCATGACAGAGAAGATTCATTCACATCCGCTACGAGGGGAAATGTCTTTGGCTGAATTAAAGGCGCTGATCACGTTGCTCAGACGTACCAGCCCGATCGAAAGGTTTGAGTAATCAGGGAAACGTGGCCACGATGCTGCTGCAGTGTGTTTGTCTCCATTAACGGGCCTACAAAACAGATAAATAAAATGTTTGAATAGACTGCCACCTCTTTGTTTTCCTGCAGTATCATAAAACATTTCTGCCCAAGATTCACTTTGGTTCAGATTTGACTCTGGACTCTGAATTCATCTTCCTCCTTTATCCATTTAATGGAAAAACACCAAATGATAGTAGTTCGGGACAGAAGCATCATCTTTTATCCAGCCCTGCAATGATATTCTTACATGCATCAAAAGGAAGTGACTTTTAAAGCTCTCTTGTATTATCCGTTCGCCACGTGTTGTGATGCTAGATGTGGTAAAGATGAAGGAGACTTGCAGGATCTGTGCCCGTGAGCTCTGTGGCAACCAGCGCAGATGGATTTTCCACCCAACAGCCAAGCTCAATCTGCAGGTGCTGCTTTCCCACGCGTTGGGCCGTGAGCTGACCCGGGATGGCCGTGGTGAGTTTGCGTGCTCAAAATGCACCTTCATGTTAGACCGCATGTACCGCTTTGATACAGTGATTGCCCGAGTGGAGGCATTGTCTCTGGAGCGTCTCCACAAGCTACTCCTCGAGAAAGACCGGCTGAGGCAGTGTATTGGAGGCCTGTACCGGAAGAACAACTCAGAGGAGTGCAGCGTGGTCCCCCCTCCATCCAGTGTCAGAGTCGTGACTGAGATGGCGTCTGAAGACGCTCCTGTGGTGGATCTGTCATCACTCCAGGATGTAAGATACTCAGACATGATCCAGGACGATCTTACCTTCTCCGTGTATGAGTCCTGGGCTGATAAGGAATACCCTGCCCTGGACCATCATCACCACCACCTCCACCAGTGCACAGGAGCAGACTCCCTCTCTGGTCACAAGCAGAGGCGATGTAGGGGTTGTGCTGCACTTCGAGTTGCTGATTCTGATTATGAGGCTGTATGTAAGGTTCCTAGAAGGCTCGGGCGCAGAAGCACATCCTGCGGCCCAACTACCCGCTGCTCAACCTCCACACAGGAAGTGGAGTATGTGGCCAGAGGCCCTGGAGCTGATACAGCCATCACCTTTGAGTCACCTTCTGCTGGGATGGAACCTGAAAAGACCATTTGTGAGCAGAAGAGTTCCAGTCCTACATCATCTGTGGAGTCTCTCAACACCACTGTGGACGTCAGTTGTCTTCCTTCAGATCATAAAGAGAAGGAAGAAACTGACCCAGAGAAAGATGGAAGTGAGGCAGTGGTGAGAAGAGACATTCAGTGGGACAAGACCCCATGTGAGAGCTTCCTGTCTGGGTTTGAGATGATGCTGACCCTCTTGCGGGGTTGTGAGCACCGACCAGTGAAATCCCGAAGGGGCAGCAAGATCCCAGTTCTAGTCAAAACCAAACCGGAGCGAGGACTGTCACTGCCCCTGCACCTATCACTGAGGTTGCCCTATGCAGAGATGGCAGACTGTGAGCTGCACACCCACCACAGTATACCAGAGATCGTGACCCCATGTCCCCAACAGGAGCTGCAGGCTGAGCTGGAAGAGATGGAGGAGCAGTGGATGGATGATTATGTTCTGTGTGGGCCATTTCAGTTTCAGCAGGTACATCAGAAGCCTTGGATACTGGATGGCCTTTAACTTAGCTCATTCAGGATTAATAGTTATAGCTTTTTAATGGGAAGCATGTTCCAAAGCCTAAAGATCTTGGTGCCTCTCAGGCTTGAGAAAGGTGCAATAGTCTGTGGGGTTGCACTTTATAAAATACTTGTCTGGGTTGGGTTGCTTTAAAATCTTATTTACAGTCAAAGTGCTGACTTCTTGCAGCTGTAAACAGCCTTAAATTAGTTGCAAACTCTAAAACACACTATATATAAATAAAAAATATAAATAAATATAATATAATAATGTGGAGACCTTTGTAGGAATATTATAGGTAGTAATTTAAAACCCAGATGTAATCCTGGTACAAGCACTGAAGTTATGTTTTATCAAAAAAAAGTGAGTACAAACTAGGGGACAAGTGTCAGATTTGCTCCACATTAGAATCAGATGTAGGGGGGTCAGAATAAAGCAAACTATTTCTGACCAGCATCCACACTGAGTGAGGTCAGACCCCTCTGAATCTTCTGTCTTGCTTGTCTCCTTCACTGCTGCTGACAAAGCTGAACACACTCACCGCCTTGATTACCCTCAAAGGAAGCATAAATAACCCTCTTTTACGGTATCTTAGCGACCCTTCCGTTGCTATGGAAACCGTTTCCAAGGTCTGCAGCCATCGCTCTGCAAAGGCTCTTCTGTCTACTGCAGCTTCATAACTTCTATTGTCATGTTAATGTGCAGTTAAAATGTGGTTCAGTCTGAAAGGAGCGTACAGACACACAACAGCTATGTGATAGTCTATTATTGTCAAATATATACGGCTATTGTAATGCAATACACAAAACTGCACAGTGCACACATTAGTCCAGGAATGAAGAAACAAATATGTCATTCATAGAACTAAACTCTGGATTATTTTGCTGAGATTTCTGTACCCTTGTGGTAAAGTACTCAACGTTCCTCTTCATTGTGTAATATCAGCAGAACTGTTAGAAGCTTTCTGGGTCTTGTTCTGGCTCATCTCTCTCTGGCCTCCAAAGATGTAGAGCAGCTGTCTTACAGTGTGATTTATGACTAGGTTCATACAAAAATAATATTAATAATAATAATAATGGATTGCATTTATATAGCGCTTTTCGAGACCCTCAAAGCGCTTTACAATTCCACTATTCATTCACTCTCACATTCACACACTGGTGGAGGCAAGCTACAGTTGTAGCCAAGCTGCCCCAGAAGTGAGGCTGCCATATCGGCCCCTCTGGCCATCACCAGTAGGCGGTAGGTGAAGTGTCTTGCTCTAGGACACAACGACCAAGACAGACAGAGCTGGGGATCGAACTGGCAACCTTCTGATGACAAGATGAGCTTCCCAACCCCCCCCCAAAATACTGTTTTCTGAAGCAAATACGAGGCTCACCGAGTCAAATCAGGAAAATATCTTGTGATTCTTTTGTTATTTGATACTTGCTTACTGCAATACAGAATGTCCAAAGGCTCACAAATGGGGAATTCTGTTGTTAAATTCCTGACTACTGAGACCATGTTTGGGGGAGGATCTGCTTCACATTTATTGAAAGGGCCTTGGAAAAGTCTATTTTAGTGTATGTAGGATTTGATTACTGGTTTTGACCAGAAATCAATGTTCAAATGTTCCCGACTGTTGTTTTAAGACACATTTCAGAAATGAACTGGGGATGACACAATTTCTAAGCCCCTTCAAGTATCTTATTCTGCATTATGTTGCATATCAGATTATTTAATTAAATCAGACAACATAGTGATGTAAATATTAGCCTCATTCTAGTGTGATTTGTTAATATATGGAAGATGAAGCGATCGTTCCTCTGGTACAAATCCAGTTGGTTCACGCTTTCTTTCTTTTCACCACACTGCTTGACACAGTGTTGCTCTGGGACACGTCTGAAATGACTGTAGAAAAGGCTGCGCACAGAGCTAATGTCTCCGAGGGCCGAGTGACATCACATCATTACAGTCTCATAAAAACAAAAACAAGGAAGTCAACAAAATGCTTCTATGGCAACACCCACTTCCAGAGGAAGCCATCCGACACCAAGCTGACATCACTTTCCACTTTCACTCCATCATCCACACGACAGCTGCAACAATAATAAACGACTGTGTTTATCTGGAGGACTATAACTTTTAATCCTTGGTTAAGAACCAAACTTTAAATTTAGGTT